TATATATATATATATATATATATATATATATATTATCTAAACCTCAAATCTTTAAGAATCATTATATTTGGTTTACATTAGAAACTCAGGAATCAAGTAGCGCTTTTGTTTCCGACCAATATGTAACTCATTGTAGCACTAAAAGTTTTAATTTAATTTTAAAATTAAATAAAAATGATAATTTTTTATATAGTTTTAATATTTAAGTTTTATTTATGTAAATATGAAAGGTTAGGTGATAGATATATAAATAGAGTTAAAGAGTTGGGAGTTCATCAAGAATTCAAGTAGAAAATAAGTTTTATTTTTCTTTCTTCCAGAAATACAAAAAAAAAAACCCGAAATTGAATGCCTGGTACAAGAGGCCTTTAGCTGGGTCCAAGCTTAGAATGGGAAGTCGCTTCCGCGATTTCGGTGCGGAAAAAAGGTCCTATAATTCAGCTTGGCAAGTGGACCCCACGTCTCATCTTCTTCCTGTTCGGTTTAAGACTGCTAAAAGTTTTTACCAACATTGTGTTCGTCCGTCCAGCAACCAACATTATTTGTATAAACGAGCCAAGCTCATATGTGCGAGGGCAGCTATGGGAGGAGAAGGCAATAATGACTATTAAAGATATATGTAATCCATTATTAAAGATATCACCTAGGGGTGTAAACGAGCCGAACACGAGCGAGTCAAGGCTCAGCTCGTGTTTGACTCGCTCGTGTTCGGCTCATTTATATTTCAAGCTCGAAATGTGTGCGTATGTTCCGCTCGTTTGCTTAGCGAGCCGAACACGAGCTGTTCACAAACAAAAAGTTATTTTGACAATCTTAATCACGTAGCCATAAGATGTTAAGGGTTGGGGCAAGATCTACAAATCATTATTTATATTAAAATATTATTTGAATCTGATATAATAATTTTAATTATATTTTCTCTATTAAGATTTATAAAAATTTTTGTAGCTTTGCAGTCAATTAAATTTTTTAAAAATACTATTCATTAATATATATATATATATATATAATTGATGAGTAGTATTTATATATATACATATAATTGATGAGTAGTATTTCAAGCCAAACGAGTCGAACAGGAACAAATAATTTTTTTTTCATGTTCGGCTCATTAACTTAGCGAACGAGCCTAACATGAGCTTCTTAAAGAGCCGAACACGAGCTTTTCTCGAACAACGAGCAGTTTTGACAACCCTAATCACTTGACATTTGGGATCAAACTTTTTGCCCAAACAAAAGAAATGGGCGTCGAACCGGCATCACCTGATACCCTTGTCGCAGTATTTTTATCAAAACACCGAAAAAAGTGTGTTACAATCAGATTGAGTATTTTATTATATTTTTTCTGTGTGTACAAAAGAGGAACATGGAAGTAGGGGTGTAAACGAATCGAACACGAACGAACAAAGCTTGTGTTCGTGTTTGGTTCGTTTAAAATTTAGTTTGTTTGAAATAATATGGTTTTGATTGCGGAATAATAGCACGAACCGAACACGAGCTGTTCGCGAACAACGAGCCAGTTTG